ATGGGAGACAAGCCAGCCGGGAACCCGACCACAAGCACCCAGCCTGGGAGACAAATGAAAAGAACTGGGAGACAAATGAAAAGAAGTGGGAGGGGACAAATGAAAGGAAGTGGGAGACAAGCCAGCCGGGAACCCGACCACAAGCACCCAGCCTGGGAGACAAATGAAAAGAAGTGGGAGACAAATGAAAGGAAGTGGGAGACAAGCCAGCCGGGAACCCGACCACAAGCACCCAGCCTGGGGAGACAAATGACAAGAACTGGGAGACAAAAGAAAAGAACTGGGAGACAAATGAAAGGAAGTGGGAGACAAGACCGGGAACCCGACCACAAGCACCGAGCTTGGGAGACAAATGAAAAGAACTGGGAGACAAATGAAAGGAAGTGGGAGACAAGCCGGCCGGGAACCCGACCAGACCATCCAGCACCAAGGCGACCATTCTTTAAAGCATTGAGAACCCCTAACAGTAAACTGTTTGGGGAATAAGATAAATTCCGATAAATACACAAATTAAAGAATATATATATATATACTGATGTGCGTGACGCGAAAACCCTTCTCCCGGATTGAGTTTTCATGGGCGGAAAGTGGCCCCGAGCTTGGCACTTGATCTCGGTGTTGCTGGACACCCCACTGCTTGGTCCTTGAGCAGGGTGAATCGCTTTCAAACACGAAATGATGTTAAGTTAATAAGTCATAGTTGTTGATATTTTCTGCCATGCAGGTGGACATCTCCGTGCTGTTCTCTGCGCTCCTGGCGTTGGCGTGGCAACGAGGGCAGAGTGGTGCCAAGGACGAGACCAAGGAGCTATGGGAGGTTGATGCCCCGGTGTCGTTGGGATCCATGTCTTGCAGAAAGCATCCCAAGTTTCAGTACAGGGTGGAACCAATGCTTTGGGGGCCGCTCGTTGGTCCCAACAAAGTGTCGAAGTAGAAGGGCAAGGAAACAAGCAGCCTATTTCATCCAGAGAGTCGTTGAAGGTTCTACAAAAACATTCATAGTAGAGTTTGGAGCTCCGAACGTTGCCAAGAGGCACTCCTTCGATGCGTGCGCTCCACTTGGTCTAACACTGTGAGCCCACACTTCCCTCAAAGAGTGAACCCCTTGTGGCGAAACGTGCATTTTTTATCTCAAGTGTGTCAAAGCTATGATCCGGTTGTTGGTGTGTCTTCCTCGCAGCAGGAACTTCAGCTTGATGGAGCTCTTTGGGCACCCATCATGGCGCTACGTCACAGCAATCAAGTGCTTCCATCAATCCTTGCATCGTGGCAAAACCTTGGCCTGGGAACAGGGGGCATGCTAAAAAGATGTGTGTCACCTCAGTATGCCTTGCCATCTTTGCATGTCCAAGTTGATGCAGTTTTGTGGTTTTGTGTTGGAACCCTTGAGTTGACTTTTGGCAACCATGAGCTTGTCATCTCAGGTATTGTATGCTGCAAGCTCCTTTTCAGCTGCTGTATATGCTGGCTTCACTTTGGGTTTGCACTTGGAGGAAGGCAAGCAAAAAGTGAACTGATGTACGCATATATGATATGTCTAGCGATGGCCTCCACCCTAGTCGCCATGGCCTCCAACCTGATAGCGATGGCCTCCAACCTAGTAGCGATGGCCTCCAACCTGATAGCGATGGCCTAGAACCTAGTAGCGATGGCCTCCAACCTACCTGCGATGGAGGCCCAACCTACCTGTCCACCCTAGTAGCAATGGCCTCCACCCTCGTAGCGATGGCCTCCAACCTACTTGCGATGGCCTCCAACCTACTTGCGGTGGCCTCCAACCTACTTAGGATGGCCTCCAACCTCCTTGCGATGGCCTCACTCCAACCTACTTGCGATGGACTGCAACCTAGTAGCGATGACCTCCAACCTACTAGCGATGGCCTCCACCCTAGTAGCGACGGCCTCCAACCTACTAGCGATGGCCTCCAACCCAATAGCGACGGCCTCCAACCTAAGAGCGATGGCCTCCAACCTAATAGAGATGGCCTCCGACCTAAGAGCGATGGCCTGAAACTTAATAGCGAGCTTCACCCTAGTAGCGATGGCCTCCAACCTAAGAGCGATAGCCTCCAACCTAATAGTGATGGCCTCCGACCTGATAGCGATGGCCTCCAACCTAAGAGCGATGGCCTCCAACCTAATAGCAATGACCTCCACCCTAAGGATAGCCATGGCCTCCAACCAAATAGCGAGCGATGGCCTCCAACCTAAGAGCGATGGCTTCCCGATGGCCTCCAACCTAGAAACAATTGTGCAGCCTTCGAGACTTGAGAGAAGATTTAAAGCACGATTCCGCAGATTGTCCAATTCTGCAAAAAAAACTTGACATCGCCAATCCTATGAAGCCTGTTGATCCATCCTCTCCACAAGCAATTTGGAAACCATTTGCTGAATGGACTAGGCAAAGTTAGGTTTTGTTTTTTGAAGCTTTTGATGGTGAAACATGTTGTCTCATCATGTCTCATCCGCATTTACAAGGATTGTGTTTTTCACCAGCACCGGCCAGGCTGGCTCGGCTCTGAGCTTAGCAGCAACCGGTCACTGGCCGTGCATGCAGCGGTCTGCATTTGGAGAGCAGAAGCTCGGAGCTTTGCGAATGCGAAGAGTTGTTTTTTTCATGTCTTTGTTTGTATGGGTTTTATTATGTTTTATTCGGTTTCCTTTAATGCTTGCTTTTCAGATTGACTTCTTGTGCCTTTTCTTCAGGCCATTTAGACCTTTCTTGTGCCTTCCTCTCTTCATGCGCTTTCATACTAGGCAGTATTATGCAGTCATTGCGGTTTGTGCTAACTTGTTCTTGTTACCACTGTCGAGTGCTTGCATGATTCCCACAACTCAATGAGCTTCTTTATGTGTCTCCCACTTCTCCCTTTGCCATTCCCTGCAGCTGACCAAATGCTGCAGGGCCGGGTGCCTTGATGTGTTCAACCAAGCATGATTACTGATTACTCGACCTAGAATGACCGCCGTGGAATTCTGAGAGAGAGTCGTCTAAGGAAAAGGTAGAGATCTTGCTGCAGCGCATGCAGAGATCGGTGACGATAGTTCAAAACCATGGCTTAGGCAGGGGCGATGAGTTCTTTCCAATCGTGGTTTGACGTAATCAGAGCAATCCCCACAGCGACCCTCTTTAAGCCTCGAGGAATCTTTATGATTTTGCCTAATGGCACAAGCGGATCTTCATCCCCACCCTACCCTCTTGTGCTCCTTATCCCCACATCCCCACCTGACTCAAGGAGAGCGCATTCGGTAAATCCGAAGGGTCAACAATCGCGATCGAGTTGAAGAATTAGCGTCCTTGCTCCTAGTAGCGATACCAGGAGCCCCTGGTAGCTACTTGTTCCTAGTAGTACGGCCAGGAGCCCCTAGTAGCGTCCTTGCTCCTAATCTGTTCAGAGTTGCAGAGAACGTGTTTGCAAATTATGTTTGAAATGGGGGCTTTGCTGGGGAGCTTGGAGCTGCTTGGGGGTTCAAGACCGAGCATGGTTTCAATGTTCAATCCAAGCACCAAGCTGACGCGCCACCACGGCCATTTTGGTTTGTGTTGAGTAGTTCTCTCGACTGAAGATGTCACCCACTAGGGTCAGTCCCAAAGAGGCAACCGGAACTTGAAAAAAGGCACCCAAAGCCTTTCCCATGGAAAGTCTTTCTTGGTGGCAAGAAGCTACTAGGTTGGAGGCCATTGCTATTAGGGTGGAGGCCATCTCTACTAGTAACAAGAAGCTATTAGGAACAAGAAGCTAGTAGTAACAAGTGCCACGCTAGTAGTAACAAGTGCCTTACTACTAGTAACAAGAAGCTTTCTATGTTTTTGAAGCTTTCCGTATCCCCAAACGAAAGCTTTCACTTCTCCAGACTCTCAAGCAGTGCCAGATGTGGCAGTAGTAGCGTCCTTGCTACTAGTAATGGCCTCTAACCTAATAGCGATGGCCTCCAACCTACAGTACTAGCTTGTTGCACTACTGAAGTGCATACAGCAGTTCTACATTTGTTTCTCCCAGGCAGCAGCTTGAAAAACAGCTTTTCAGAGCCCTTCACCTGGTTCTGGCCGGGTTTCTGGGGCTCCGCTCGCCGCTTGGCGCTCCTGGTGGTATCTTCAGCACCTTGGCCATAACGGGGTAAGCTTAGGCAAGAAAGCTAGTAAGTAGCGCAGTCGAAGCATTGCTGTACTACAAAACGGTCCCTGGATTGGACAGTTATTTCTTGGCAGCCAATGTTTGATATTGGTATGCTGTTGCTGTGCTCCTAGTAGCGTTCTTGCTCCTAGTAGCGATGCCAGGAGCCCCTAGTAGCGATGCCCTTGCTCCTAGTAGCGTTCTTGCTCCTAGGTATGCTGTGGTTTCAGCTTTCTTGAGTTGACATAGCGCCTTCATGTGCTCATCAATCATTGCAGTTTCGTTACCCACACATGGCGTCAAAGACCTTTGGAAGAAGCTTGGGACAAACTCTTCACCCAGCCAATATGGTCAAAGATGTTTGCTTGGGTGGTTCTCCTTTTTGTATTTGTTCTGTTCATCCAAGAATCGTATCAATGTGTGTGTGTGTCATGGTATCACGTTTTTTGTGGGCCTGGACCATTTGACTTGTCACTACAGTGACTACAGTTCTTCAGTTCGGCGTTCGCAGGTGGGCTATGGCTCTTTCGTTCGAGTCGTGCTTCCAGCAGTTGTCTTTGACGAGTGCCTGTGGTGGCTCACCACGAAGACCCAGGACCTCTTCACTCGAAAGGCGATGGGGCAGGGGAGAGGAAGCACATCAAGCTGGGGAATAAATAGTGGAGACTGCAAAATTTGGCAACCTTTGTGAAGCGGGATGGGGGCAGCTTGAGTGAACCCAGATCTTTCTTAAACTCAACCAGACAAAACCGAACCCAGCAAACCCAGCACAGCAGAAAACGCCCGAACATCGGGCACTAAACTGTTTGGGAAAACCATCTCATTGTGACTATCGCTCAACAAAAATAGAGTGACAAACAGAACACACAAATTCATGTCAGTGTCAATTAGAAGCCCACTCCATGTTGGAAAGGAAAGCCACGAGCTAAGTGTTCGGGACTGGTTGACAATATCATTGATCGGATAAGGTAATCCGGTTGCTGTGAGGTCTACTTTGTTTATATCGTTATAGTAGGTCGGATGCCATTACTATTAGGTTGGAGGCCATTGCTACCAGGGTGGAGGCCATCGCTACTACTGACTCTACCCTCTACCTGAGCTGTTTAGCATCCTTGTTCCTAGCAGGAAGGCCAGGAGCCCCTAGTAGCGTTCTTGTTACTAGTAGCGATGCCAGGA